TTAGTTCTTTATATATTTTGGATACTAACCCTCTATTGGATGTGTACTTGGCAAAAAAAATTTTTTCTTATTCTGTAGGCTGCTGCTTTGTCTGAATGATGGTGTCCTTTGCCTTACAGAAGCTTTTCAGTTTCATGAGTTCCCATTTATTAATTGTCGTCTCCTGTGCCAATGAGTTCAAGGCTATCCCACCACGTTGTCTTCTATCAGGTTCAAGCATCTGGTTTTATGTTGAGGGCTTTGATCCATTTGCAGCTGGGTTTGTGTGGGGTGATAAGTACGGATCTATTTGGATTCTCCCACATGCAGCCATCCAGTTTGACCAGCACCATTTGTTGAAGATACTGTCTTGTTTTCCAGTGTATATTTCTGGCTTTACAAAAAAAAAAAAAATCAGGTGTCCATAGGTATGCGGACTTATTTCTGTGTCTTCAATTCTATTCCATTAAAAAAATGTGTCTGTGTTTGTCCCAATAAAATAAAAATAAATTTAAAAACATGCTGTTTTTTTATTACTATGCCTTTGTATTACAATTTGAGATTGGGGATGGTGATACCTCCAGCAGTTCTTTTGTTATTTGGGTTATGAAGCTATTCTTGTGTGTGTGTGTGTGTGTGTGTGTGTGTGTGTGTGTGTGTTCATATGAAGCTGAAAATTGTCCTCCTAAGTTCTTTGTCAGAACTGTGTTGGAATTTTGATGGAGATTGCATTGCACCTATAGATTGCTTTTGGTAGGACGACCACTTTTACTATATTAATCCTACCAATCCATAAGCATGGGAGATCTTTCCATCTTCTGAGATCTTCAATTTCTTTTTTCAGTGTCTTAAAGTTTTTGTTTTGTTTTGTTTTGTTTTTATCACACAAGACTTTCACTTGCTTGGTTTGACTTATCCCGAGATATATTTTTTTGAGGCTATTGTGAAAGGTGTTTCCCTGATTTCTTTCTCAATCCTTTGTCATTTACATATAGGAAAGCTGCTGACTTTTGTATCCCGTTACTTTGCTGAAAGTGTTTATCAGCTATGGGAGTTTCCTGGTGGAATGTTTGGGGTCACTTATGTAGACTATCATATCATCTGCAAATAAAGATACTTTGACTTCTTCCCTTCCAATTTGTCTCCCCTTGATCTTCTTCAGGTGTCTTGCTGCTCTAGCTAAAATGTCAAGTACTCTCTTGAATATAGAGAATGGAGAGCCTTGTCTTGTTCCTGATTTTAGTGGAATTGTTTTGAGTTTCTCTCCATTTAAGTTGATATTGACTATGAGCTTGCTGTTAACTGCCTTTGTTATTATTATGTTTAAGTACGTCCCTTGTATCACTGCTCTTCAAACTTTTATTGTGAAGGGGTGTTGGGTTTTGTCCAAAAGCCTTTTCTTCATCTAATCAGATGATCATGTGTTTTTTGTCTTCAGTTTGATTATATGGTGGATTACATTTATTGATTTTCTATATTGAACCATCCCTGCATCTCTGGGAGGAAGCCTACTTGATCATGGTGGGTGATTTTTTTTAATGAGTTTTTTAGATTCTGTTTGCAAGCATTTTATTGAGAATTTCTGTGTCTATGTTCATATGGGGAGATTGGTCTGTAATTCTCTTTCTTTGTCGGGTCTTTATGTAGTTTAGGTATCAGTAATTGTGGCCTGATAAAAATAACTGGGCAATGTTTCTTCTGTTTTGTGGAACAATTTGAGGAGAATTGGGGTTAAGTCTTTGAAAGTCTGGTAGAATTCTGCACTAAAACCATCTGGTCCTGAGGTTTTGGGGGGCGGGGGAAGGCGATTGGAGACTTTTAATTACTGCTTCTATTTCACTATGGGTTTTAGGTCTATTTAAATTGCTTATCTGATCTTGATTTAACTTTGTTAGGTGGTATGTATTGAGAAAATTATCCATTTCTTTTAGATTTTCCAATTTGGTAGGGTTCAGGTTTTTCTAAGTATGTCCTTATGATTCTCTGAATTTTCTCGGTGTCTGTTGTTATGTCTCCCTTTTCATCTCTAATTTTGATTTTCCCTCACCGCCTTTTAGTTAATTTGGTTAAGGGTTTTTCAGTCTTATTGATTTTCTCAAAGAGCCAACTCTCCATTTCATGGATTCTTTGTATTGTTTGTTTCTTTCTATTTTAATGATTTCATCCCTGAGTTTGATACCTTCTGCGTGAGCTTGCTTCTTTTTGTTCTAGAGCTTTCAGGTGGCTGTTAAGTTACTAGTGTGAGATCTATCCAATTTTTTATTTTTATTTTTATTTATTTTTTTGAGACAGGGTTTCTCTATGTAATGGCCTTGGCTGTCCTGGAATTTGCTCTGTAGACCAGGCCTCTCCAATTATTTTTATGTGGGCATTTAGTGATATAAACTTGCCTCTTAGAACCATTTCCATCGTGTCCCATAAGTTTGGGTATATTGTGTTTTCATTTTCATTCAATTTTAGAAAGTTTTAATTTATTTCTTAGTTTCTGCCTTGACCTATTTTTCATCCATTAGTGAGTCATTTTGTTTCCATGAGTTTGTAGGATTTCTGCTGTTTCTGTTGTTGATATCCAGCTTTACTCTGTGGTCTGACAAGATATAGAGAGTTATTTCAGTTTTCTTGTGTTTATTGAGACTTGTTTTGTGTCCAAGTATGTGGTCAGGTTTGGAGAAAGGTCCATGAGGTGCTGAGAAAACAGTATATTCTTTTGTGTGGGTTACCTGTTCTGTAAGTATGTTAGGTCCATTTGGTTTATCACACTGGTTAACTCCAGCGTTTCTCTGTTTAGTTTTTTTCTGGATGACCTGTCTATTGGCAAGATTGCGGTAGTGAAGTCTCCCACTATCAGTGTGCGAGGGACAATATGTGATTTTTAGCTGTAGTAGTAGTGTTTTTTGTTTGTTTGTTGTTTTTTTATTGACATGGATGCCCTTGCGTTTGGTGCATCCAGGTTGAAAATTCACTGTCCTCTTGGTGGATTTTTTATTTGAGGAGTATGTAGAGTCCTTTCTCATTACTTCTGATTACTTTTGGTTTGAAGTCTATTTTGTTAGATATTAAAATGGCTACACCAATGTGTTTCTTGGGTTTGTTTGTTAGGATTATCTTTTTCCATCCTTTTACGCTGATGACCTGTCCTTGATGTTAAGGTTTTGTATCTTGGATGCAGCAGAAGGAAGGGTCCTGTTTGAATCCAGTCTGTTAGTCTGTGTCTTTTCATTGGGGCATTGAGACAGCGATGGTGAGTTGTCAGTGTTTTCTAACTTCTCTTGCTTTGTTGTGGTGGTGTGGATTTTCCTCTCTTTCTTTTGGCTTGCCAGTCTGAGATTATTTATTCCTTGTGCTTTCTTGGGTGTGGTTAGCCTCTTCAGGTTGAAGTTTTCACTCTAGTGTCTTTTGTAGGCCTGGATTTGTAGATAAATACTGCTTAAATTTGGTTTTGTCTTGGAATATTTTTCTTTCTCCATCTATTGTGATTGAAAGTTTTCCTGGATATAGTAGCTTGGGTTGGCATCTGTGGTCTCTTAGAGTCTATAGAACATCTGTCCAGGCTCTCCTGGCTTTTAGAGTCTCCAGTGAGAGGCCAGGTGTCTCTCTAAGAGGTCTGCCTACATATGTTACTTGGTCTTTTTCCTTGCAGCTTTAAATATTCTTTCTTTGTTCTGTACATCTAATGTTTTGGTTATTTATGTGACAAGAGGAATTTATTTTCTGGTTTAGTCTATTTGGTGTTCTCTATATCTCTTGTATCTCAATAGGCATCTCCTTCTTTATGTTGGGGAAATTTTCTTCTACGATTTTGTTGAAAATATTTTCCTGTGCCTCTGACCTGAGTTTCTTCTCCTTCCTCTCTCTCTGTTATCCTTAGATTTGTCTTTTCATGGTTTCCCAAATTTCCTAGATGTTTACTGCCAGGAGTTTTTACAGTTTAACATTTTCTTTGACTGAAGTATCCATGTCTCCTACCTTGTCTTCAAAGTCTGAGATTTTCTCTTCCATCCCTTGTTTTTGTTGGCGAGGCTTGCCTCTGAGGTTCCTGTTCAAATTCCTGAAGTTTTCGTGTCCGGTTTTCCCTCAGTTTGGGTTGTCTTTATTGAACTCTGTCTCCCTTGCAGGTCTTACACTGTTCTCCTCATTCTGTGGCAGTGCTCGTTTGTGTTTTCATGGAGTTCTCTAAGGGATTCGTTCCCTCTTCTCTAAGGACCTCTAACATATTCCTGAAGGCTCTTTTGAAGTCCGTGTCCGGTTCTTCAGCTAATCAGCCCTTCCCAGGACCTCCTGTGAGTTGCCTGGCTCTAGTGGAGACGTATTGTCCTGAGTGATTTACCCTGGAGTCTAGGCATCTGGGTTTGGGAAGATGGCAATTCTAGTGCCACTGTCTGCCCTTGTCCTTGTTGGGTGTGTGCTCTGTTCCCTGGTTTCTGTTGCCCTCTCCAGGTCTTAGGAGAGTGTGGTGGCTGTGGGCTGCCTGGTAGGGAGTGCTTCTGAGGCCTTGCCAGGTGTGGCCACTGGGGGTTCCAGTTAGAATGTGTTTCTTGATATTGGGAGCTGACACTTAGGAATGGCTATGAGCTAGAAGGAGGTGGCTGAGGGTGTCAATAGGAAGGGAGAGAGCAGGGGGTGCCATCAGGATCTGCTAATTCCCCTGGGTTTGGGGGCAGGAAGGAAGGAGAGGCCACAGCTGGTAGTCTGCTACAGAGCTGGGGATGAGACTGGGGGATTGGGTTTGGAGGAGTGGAGGGACAGTGAAGACAAGAATATTGCCTAACTGCTTTCCTGGCTGGTGTGGCTAGCTGTTGAGGCTGGCTGGTGTGGCTGGCTGGTATGACTGGCTGGTGTGGCTGATTGATGTGCTGGCTGGTGTGGCTGGCTGGTGTGGCTGGCTGCTATGGCTGGCTGGTTCCCAGAGAATTCTTGCAGGAGTTAGCAGTTGAGACAAAGGGATGGGGTGATGGCGGCGAGGGAGCCTGTAGGAGAAGATCTGTGTGATCTGCTGGCAGCAAGCAGGGGGAGGCCATAACATGGTCTGCTACAGAGCTGGCTTGAGACTGGGGGATCAGAAGGAGAGTGAAGATTGCCAGCCTGTTTCCATGGTCAGCGTGGCTGGTGGGTTCCCAGGGAGTCTCTGTGAGAGTGAGCCTAGGAAAGCTGACCGGCAGAGCCAGCTTCCAATCTTCTGTGAGAAGACGGCCAGCAAGGGAAGGGAACTGCATAGAGCTCGTGGGAAAGCCACCTGATAATGAGGTTGAGGGGAACGTGAGAGACGGTTTCACTTCGAGTTCCCAGTGGGGGAGGCTGTGATGAGGGGACGTACAGGAGGGTGTCCATGAATCTGTAGAAACATTAAGACGTTGAGCCGTCCATTAAACATCACCAGTGCAGAGATAGGCTAACATTCCAACTACCAGGAAACAAAGTACCGTTTTCCCTGTATCAGAGATGTGCAGGGTGATGGGGGAGCTCTTATGCAAAATGGCAACTGTTTCTCCCTGTTGAAATGAGCTCAGTTCAGAAGCCTCCCCGTCCACTCATGCTAAAAAACATGCATTTTTACAACGAAAATGGAGTTTGGTGAAGCAACCTTCTTTGACTATGACTTAACTTCAGAGTTCTTTTCTGCCCTAAGAGTAGAGCCTAAGAGTCCAGCCACTGGAGTGGAGAGAGTGTGTTCTGGTGCTGCCTTCTGGTGGCCACAGGTCTTCACAGCGCCATTTGGTCTGGCACGCTCTTCCCAGGAGGAACTTCCTTTCTTCAGGGCAGCGTTCTGCTTTGCCATCTCTTAGATTGGTGTGTTCTTCGGTCACCTCATCATAACCGCAGGGTCCCCCAGGTCCCCCAGGCTCTTCTCTGGGCTACTGCAGTATTGCAGGTGCCTGACTGGGGTAGTGTTTTGTGTATCTGTGTGGGTACCAAAGGAATTTCAAGGAGTACCCGAGCAAGACCTTGGCTTTTTTGTTGTTCTTGTCTGTTTAAAAGGATCTGAGCCGGGCGGTGGTGGCGCACGCCTTTAATCCCAGCACTCGGGAGGCAGAGCCAGGCGGATCTCTGTGAGTTCGAGGCCAGCCTGGGCTACCAAGTGAGTTCCAGGAAAAGGCGCAAAGCTACACAGAGAAACCCTGTCTCGAAAAACCAAAAAAAAAAAAAAAAAAAAAAAAAAGGATCTGAATTTGGATTTGCTCTGCATCAGTAAAATTCATAAGTTGATTGTAAGCTCTACGACTTTTGACAAATGCATATTATTGTGTAGCCGCCACTGGAGTTATGATTTAAACATGGCGGAGAGAATCTAACGCTTCTCTCCTTACCAGCCCTTAAAAGTAAAACCAATATAACATGCCAGGGAGATGTGTCAGTAAGTAAAGTACTTGGTGGGTAAGTCTGACACCCCAAGTTCAGTCCCCAGAATCCACAGAAGAAGCCAGATGTGATGGGTGCATCTGTAATCCTCAAACTTCTACAGCAAGATGAAATTCCAGAGACAGGACAGCCATATGGAAGCTCCCAGGCCAGTCAGCCGGGAGAATACAGACATCGGCACAAACAACAGAGACCCCACGTCAACAACTCCCCAGAGTTGTCCTTGAACTGACGTAGGTACATGCCACGACATACCCATGTGTGTGTGCTCACACACTAATACTAAATAAAATAAGTACAGATTTTATTTTAAACATCTTTTTATTTGAGATAGTATTCACATACCATAAAATTTACCTAATTAAAATGCATAGTTCTTAGCTGGGCATAGCTGGGCATTTGCCTGTAAACCCAGCACTCAGGGGATCGAGGCAGGAGGATTATGAATTTGAGGCCAGCCTGGGCTACAAAGTGCATTTGAGACCATTGCTGCCGTCATTTTTAGAGGCACATGACGTGTGCATTTCAAAGCATTATGTGTGCTAGGAAGCCAATCACCACAGACCACACACTGGTCCTGTGATCATATTTGACACAGAGAAAGGCAAGGCTGTGATGACAGGAAGGAGGTGAGTGATTGGCAGGCCGAGGTGGAGGGAGGGGGCAGAGGGAGGAGGTGGATGCAGAGTTCCTGGAACTTCTTCCATGCTGCTTCCTTGCTCTGGAAAGGAAGCCGCATCAACAGCAGTCTCACGCCTTTAGAAACAGTGTCTTCCCGTCTCTCTGCTTGGTTACTGCAGCACACAGTGTGAATATATCAGTACTTCCTATTTTTAACAGTAGAATAATACTCTATTTATCCATTCATTAGAGGATGGATGTGGAGCTGAAATCTAGAATTATAAATAACATTTATTATAAATAACTGCTATTAAGAGAGGGGAATGAGGGTGAATAGGAATGAGGTACATTATGTACACTTAGGAATGTGTCATAGTGAAGCCAGTTATTTTGTGTAGTTCATATAGCTACAAAAATAGTCTGAACATTTTTTTAAAGCCTATGTAACATTTTACTACCCCCTAGATTTTGAATAAAGCCCACCAAGAAAAGCCCAACTGGTGTGTGCATGTGCGTGCGTGTGCATGTGTGTGTGTGTGTGTGTGTGTGTGTGTGTGTGTGTGTGTGTGTGTGTCAAGGGGAGAGAGAGAGAGAGAGAGAGAGAGAGAGAGAGAGAGAGAGAGAGAGAGATTTTATTGGCCTCAGCAACCGTCTTTTGAAGAGCCTGCCTTCCCCCTGAGTGCGTACTTTAGTTTACAGCAAAGACCCTCCTCTCTGGGCACGGTGGCTCATCGTATTTGTACATGTGTCTCTCCAGCATCCCTCTCACATAACCATCTTCACACATGCCTCATTTGGGAGCCGAGGGCTTATTATTGTAATGTCCTTAGTGTTTGCAGGCTGAGGTGCGCCCTTTGGTTTCTGGACAAGGTCTGAAGTTACACCAAATGTGGGACTGGCGGGTGACAGAGATTTGTCCTGACCGTGTGCCAGGCAGGACCAGGAAAACTCTAGCTACAGTGTGTTGTTGGCATCTTCTTTTGAACTGATACCTTAGCCTGTGTAGAGTGTTATGGTATGAATCATCCCATTTTAATAGCAGCAAAAGCTATTTGAACATTAGATTTACAGAACACACAGCTAATTAAATTCCTCAGTGAAAAAGAAATCAACTGTGAAGGACTTAGAGTTGGCTCAAGAGGTCCCCCTGCAGGTCACAGTCGGAAGCAGGCAGAGGCCCCTTTGCTCTGCGCTGCGTGAGCCCTACCTTTCCTAAATTGCTCCTAGGGACAGCCCTCAAGTTTCTGAAAGTAAGTCTATGTTCTAACCAGAATACCAATCACACCATGGACAAAAGAGCTCAGACGTACCCTGGTGCCACAGATGAGCAGAGCAGTTTGTATGTGGTCACAGGTCACAAATCAGGAATAGGAAATTAAGGTAGCAAGCGTACAAAGTCTGAATCAGTGCATGAGGAAAAAAGCTAACATCAAATAAAAAGCAGGGTGCAAATTTAGTGCCATTATATACTCCTCAATTTTCCTGTGCTCTAGACAAAACTAAGTAATAAAACTATAAATAATAGTGCTGATCAGTAATTTAAAGACCAATTTTTGGTTGTTTTTTTTCCCCATTTTTTCTTTTATGTGTATGGATGTTTTGCTCGCATGTATGACTGTGTAACACATGTGTGCAGTGCCCTTGGAGGCCAAAAGAGGGTGTCAGATGCCCTGACTTGAGTTACAAATGGTTGTGAGCATCTATCTTAGTTACATTTTTACTACAGTAACAAGACATCATGACCTGGGCAACTTACAAAACATTTAATCTGGGGCTCATGGTTCCAGAGGGCTAGAGATGACGGCAGCAGGCAGGCATGACATGGGAGCAGTAGCTAAGAGCTTATAGCTGATCCACCAGCATGAAACAGGCAGAGAGACTGGGCCTAGTGTGGGCTTTTGAAACCTCAAAGCCTATCCCCAGTGACACACCTCCTCCAATAAGGCCACACCTCCTAGTCCTTCCCAAACAGTTCCACCAACTGGGGACCAAGCATATTTATTTTTATTTTATGTGTATTGGTGTCTCACCTGTCTGTGTGTCTGTGTGAGGGTGTCAGATCCCCTAGAACTGGAGTTACAGACAGTTGTGAGCTGCCATTTGGGTACTGAGAATTGAACCTGGGTCCTCTGGAAGAGCAGCCAGTGCTCTTAACCACTGAGCCATCTCTCCAGCCCGAGACATATTTTCTAACCAAGCACTTGAAGAACATGTCATGATAATTCTTAGTGTTTCATTGAAGTAGCATGTATGTTACAGAAAAATACATGTAAGCATATAACCTGGTAATTTTCACAAACTGAATAATAATGCAGTATGATTTGTTCCCAGAACTAAACCCAAAACCTAGCTATCACACCAGAAAACATCTATGCCATTAGAAGTCAGATATCTTCTTTGATTTTTTTAAATTAAGAAATATTGTCTAGCTGGGCAATGGTGGTGCATGCCTTTAATCCCAGCACAGAGGCAAGTGGGTCTCTGAGTTCGAGGTCAGCCTGGTCTACAGAGTGAGTTCCATCACAGCTGGGACTACACAGAGAAACCCTGTCTCAAAAAACACAAAACAAAACAAAACAGAAGGAAGGAAGGAAGAAATATTGTCTCTATGTCCGCAATTTTCACAGCCAATGTGAATTGCACTGATTTTTTTAAAGAATTTTTTATGTATATGTGTGTGTAACCAAGTATATGTATGTGCACCACATACTTACAGGAACCCACAGAGGTCAGAAGAAGGCATTAGATCCCCCGGAACTGCATTGTACAGGCAGTTTTGAGCCACCATATGGGTGCTGGGAATTGAACTTGGGTCCTCTGCAAGAGCAGTAAGAACCCTTAACCACTGAGCCATCTTTCCAGACTAGTTCCCCCTGACTTTTGAACTCTATATAAGTCATATAATGTGTACATGCTTGTGTCTCATTTAAAATTTTGTTTGTGAGATTTACCCTTATAGTTATATAATGTTAGAGTTTATTCATTTTGAATACTAAGTAAAATTTCAGCATATAAACATATTTCACAGTTTATTCCATTTGGAGATATTCTGAGTAGTTATTATCAGCTTTCTATTCATGTATCTTGATGTAAATATACAATAATGTCTAGTGATATCTGTATTGGATGGTTTTATGCCAACTTGACACAAGCATTTCCTCAATTAGTGATACCAGTGTAGGTGGGGCCACCCCTGGTTTCAACCTGCTTTCTTATAGAACCCAAGAACACCAGCCTAGGGATGGCAACACTCCCCCATCAATCACTCATTAAGAAAATGCCCTAGAGCAGGATTTTATACAGGCATTTTCTCACTTGGGGTTCCCTCCTCTCATATGACTATCGCTTGTGTCAAGGTGACAGAAATCTTTCCAGCACCCGTGCCTTACTCAAGAGTTATAGATGCAGGCATTTCCAGCATTCCCAGCTCCCTTCTGTAATCAGACATTTCCTGTCCCAACAGCCCAGTCCCAAATAAACACACAGAGGCTTGTATGAATTATAAATGCTTGACCAATAGCTCAGGCTTATTACTAACTAGCTCTTACATTTTAAGTTAACCCATATTCCTTATTTACGTTCTGCCATGTGGCGGTACCTTTATTAGTGAGGCACGTTCATCTCCTGCTCCCTCTGCATCTGGCCGGCGACTCCTGACTCCGCCCTTCTCCTTCCCATCATCCTTAGTTTGGTCACCCTGCCTATACTTCCTGCCTGGCTACTGGCCAATCAGCGTTTTATTAAACCAATTTGAGTGACAAATCTTTCCAGTGTACAAGAGGATTGTTCCACAGCACCCTTCCTCCTCATCATTCCTGTTGGACTTTCACTGGACTTGTTTTATTCTGAGCAGTTCTTTCCTAGTTGTGTTTGGTACATCCACATGCTGGTTTATTTTATTAGATTGTGAACGTTCTTCAGTACTTTGCTTGTTTGTATACCTCAGCACCTGGCACAGTCCCTGAAATATAGTCAGCTAGTTGAGTGAGTGGTGCCAGCCATCACCGTTGACAGTGTTTAACAAACAAGCCCTCTTCATTATGGGTATCATCTAATAGAGGCCAGTCAAGCCTTCGCTCTGACACACGAGTGTCAAAAGTCAGTGTTGGGAAGTGACTCTTTCTGAAGGGAGTCCATGGCTTCATGCTCCGTGGCAGGGGCATTGCTGTGGGTTCTCAGGCCTCTTGCAGGTTTAAAGCGTTAACAGCAGTGGTTCCAGGGCAGAGCTGGGGACCAGATATAAATAGCAGGACACAAGTGGGGTAATGTGCCACTGCCAAGCTACCGCTAGGGGTGTTATAAAAAGAAAAGCATTCCCAGGCAGCCCTCACTGTCAACAACATCTTATCCTGAAGGGACTATCGCCACAGCTGAGAGTGGGAATCAGCGTGAGCCGGGGCATCATTCAAACCTCCTGCAAAGGCACAAACGCCAGGTAAACATTTTGATTTCTTTGCACCCAGACTGCTGAAATGAAGACCAGGAAAACCCTGGCCCACAGCTGACTCGGCACATGCTGCCTGTGTTCTATTCCTTATACTTTTTTGAGAGGGAAGTTTGATACAGAGTAGCATTTTAAAATAACTACAGATATATTAATAGTGCTAGACAAAAGAACTGCTTTTGAAGAAAGACAGGAACCCGGGGCCAAAATGAGTTACAAAAAGAAAGGCTGTCTACCCTTCCTTCCCCTATGCCATTCATTTCCTCTTTTAGAATCCAGGCTAAGATGACTGGCAAAAGAGAGGGAAGTAGGGTTTCATCTGAGTTACAGGAACGGCAGCTTTGGTGAAGCATATGTATGTGAGAGACGGGAGGCCAACAGCCTGCAGCACTTAGTTGAGTTGGCTAATGGCTCTGGATAGCTTCGGCCATGAGGATTCTTTCCCTCCTATCTACCCCTTATGCTGCCACACACACCGGAATGGGTCCTGGGCACTCAGCTAGATGACTGATGGGATCTAGTTAGAATCACTGCCTTCCCGGGGCTCCTTAGTCGATCCCCAACTCCAGAACGTTACACACTTGCTCAACCTCTGGCTTCTGTTGGTTGTGAGGAGTTGGAGGAAGGAGGTCACCTCGGGTAGCCCACTCTGTCCTGCTGCTGACCTCGTCTCTTCCCTCCCACCCTAATGGGCATGCTCTAACTTGCAAAGCAGCTGGAAGAATGGAAGCTGTCCATGGGAAATTTTCTAGACAGCTCTTAGAAACTGGGAGCTAGGGGAGCAGTTTGAGAGCATGGTGGTGTTCGTATGTGTTTCCTGTGTGGCCTCAGGGGAGATTTAGAGATGGGAAACTTGTGCCTTGGGGCGGCTCTGGTGGGAGAGACGTCGTGTCTAGAGTTGTGTGGAGGTGGACGGATTTGATCTTGGAAGCACTGCAGTTTCTTAAGGTTTTGTTAGACCTCTCGATAAAATCAAATTGCTCTTGCAGCCGTAGGAATGTATTTGATAATCTCCTCTACCATCACAGTGTCTGCCCAGAATGAAACTATATATAGCACGTTATCTTGCTCTTTTTTCCTAAAACTCTTTGTTAACCCAACTGAAACAAAATTTTTCATTCAAATTTAGAAGAGAAAACTGAAGATGGGACATTTCGAAATGGTCACCACGCTGCTGGCAGCCGTGACTCTAGTGGACATCTTCCAGGTAATGTTGGGAATGGGAAGCATGTGCTCACTGGGACGGGAGCCTGTAACATTGCCTGCGGTGTCTCTGTGGACTGAGAGAGGCCAGACTAGGCATTAGCTTGTAAGTAGCTTTTCCTTCATTTTGCAGGTGACACATATGTTAAGTGTAGAAAGTTATATATAATTATAATTAAATGAAGAGAACAGGGAAATTCAGCCACTGAGAGAGAGTCTTAGGGGGCAGTGTAGATAGCCTATGTGGCTCCTCTCTCTGTGTGTATAATTTATTTAAAAAGTAGATTAATGCTGTATGTAGAGTACTTTTAACCTTGTCTTCAAGCAATACTGCACAGCATTTCCAAGTCAATAAATATTCAGGGAATATCGTGTGTTCTCCAAACAATGCCGCAGTGTTTGATTCCATGTTTGTTATTAAACTACATAATGACTGTTTCCTTGTTGTCTTTTTACTGATAGAAATTTTATGATTTTGTTTGCCATTCAATATTTAAAAACTAATATACTTTATGTATGTATTGTAGGAAACAGGGATCTATCTCACTTGCCTTCTTTAAGATACCTGAAATTTGCCGGGCAGTGGTGGTACACGCCTTTAATCCCAGCACTCGGGAGGCAGAGCCAGGCGGATCTCTGTGAGTTCAAGGCCAGCCTGGTCTCCAAAGCGAGTTCCAGGAAAGGCGCAAAGCTACACAGAGAAACCCTGTCTAGAAAAACCAAAAAAAAAAAAAGATACCTTAAATTTTAAAAACTGGCCGGGCAGTGGTGGCGCACGCCTTTAATCCCAGCACTCGGGAGGCAGAGGCAGGCGGATCTCTGTGAGTTCGAGGCCAGCCTGGTCTACGGCGCGAGATCCAGGAAAGGCGCAAAGCTACACAGAGAAACCCTGTCTCAAAAAACCAAAAAAAAAAAAAAAAAAAAACAAACTGTATCCATTTTTAGAGCTTTGACCCACTTTCTAGAGCATTATCGTATGTTTTGTTTCCTGCACATTCTGTTGTTTACTTTTTAACTTGAGACATTATGGTGGTTGAAAGAAAATGGCCCCCGAAGGGAGTGGCACTCTTACGAGGTGTGGCTTTGTTGGAGGAAGTGTGTCACTGTGGAGGTGGGCTTAGAAGTCTCATATGCTCAAGCCACACCCACTGAGACAGTCTACTTCCTGTTGCCTGCATATCAGCATGTAGCAGCTCCTTTTCCAGCACCATGTCTGTGTCTGCCAGCTGCCATACTCCCTGCCATGATAATAATGGACTGAACCTCTGAAACAGCCACTACCTCAATTAAATGTTTTCCATTATAAGAGTTGCCATGGTCATGGTGTCTCTTCACAGCAACAGAAACCCTAACAAAGACAGAAGTTGGTACCAGAGACTGGGGTATTGCTGTGATAGGCTGACGATACTTTTGTTTGAAGGAATATGGACCTTGGGACTATGGATTAGAAAAGCAGTTGAGCACTTTAAGTGCTGCTTAATGGGCCATCCTGGTAGGAGTATGGAAGACAGTGGCGCTGAGAGACATTTGGACTGGGTGGGTGGGTGGGGGGCGGCTGGCTCAAGAGGTTTCAGAGGGGAAGAATTCTTAGTATGTTGCCTAGAAATCATTCTTGTGGTATTTTGGTGAAGAACGTGGTTGCACTTTGCCTTTGTCTGAAGAGTCTGCCTAAGGCTAAAGTGAAGAGTTTGGGATTAATTCTGTTGGCAGAGGAAATCTCAAAACAAAGACTCTGTTGTGTGGTTACTAGTGTTAACTCTAATGAAGATATATAATGAAAAGGATCAGCTGAACAAGGAAAAATATTTGAGGAGAAAGGGAGTACCAGAAAATGGAATAGAGCTAAGTTCTGTATTCAAGGAGATAAACAGATTAAGAAATGGAATAAAGGGAATGGTGATCTCAGAGCAAGATCCCACCCCATTGGTGATCTTAGAGCTGGGTGTGGTGGGGCACACCTTTAATCCCAGCACTGGGAAGGCAGAGGCTGGTGAATCTCTGAGTTTGAGGCCAGCCTGGTCTGCAGATCCAGTTTTTGGGACAGCCAACCTTAGGCAGTGAAGTAAGGAAAGCTGATGAAATGTAATTGAACAAAGGTGGCAGCCATGTTCCAGCCCAAGCAAGCAGCAGAACTTGGCATCTTTGGTCAGGTGGTTCTAGCTTTAGAATCAAGGATAGAAGAAAGGCATTATGGAACCTTCCTCGCTGGCAAAGGAAAGCCAATGAGGCCAGGCATGTGTCAGGGGTGTCCCTGGAGGCCTAGAGAGGCCATTGCATGAAGCTGTAAAGTTGAAACCTGGATTGCCTTGGAGAACCCAAGATGTTGGAGATGCCAGAGCTGTGGGATACCTGCCAAGGAGAGCTGCTAATAGTGAGTGGAAACATCCCAGTAGGAAGAAGTGTGTTGCAGTCAACAAAGCTGAAAGGAATTGGAGATCTGAAGATCGTTTTGACATTAGACATGGAGATGCAGAGTTTGGAGTTTGCCCAGCTGGTTTTCAGTCTTGCTTTGGTCCAATATTTCCTCACTGTGCTCCCTTCCCTACATTTTGGAATGGAAATGAATATCCTGTGCCATTGTATGTTGGAAGTATGTGATCTGTTTTTTGATTTTTATAGGGGATTACAGTTAAGAGATTGCATGAATCTCAGAAGAGACTTTGAACTTTAGACTTTTAAATAAGTTTGAAACTGTTTATAGACTATGGGGACTTTTGAAGTTGGACTGAATGCATTTTTGCGTTTTGAATTGGCTACAAGCCTTTGGGGGTCAGGGAATAGAATGTGGTGGTTTGAAAGAAAATGGCCCCCAAAGGGAGTGGCACTAATGGGAGGTGTGGCCTTGTTGCAGTAAGTGTGGTCTTGTTAGAGGAAGTGTGGAGGTGGGCTTTAAGGTCTCATATATGCTCAAGCCATGACCAATGAGACAGTCTACTTCTTGTTGCCTGCATATCAACATGTAGCAGCTCCTTCTCCAGCACCAGATCTGCCTGCATGCTGCCATGCCCCCCTCCTGCCATGATGATAATGGACTAAACCTCTGAAACTGTAAGGTGCCACCTCAATTATATGTTTTCCTTTATTTGCCTTAGTCATGGCGTCTCTTCATAGCAATAGAAACCCTAACAAGACAGACATATAATTGAGATACCCTAACAAACATTTTCAACCACACCCGTCATTGATTTCTAGTGTCTTTATGATGTTGTCCCACAGTAGCTGTGGGGTCTTTCATTCCTCTCTAAAGAAGCACTTTGCTTATTGGAAGTCAATGCCACTCCCGCCTCCCCCATTCTCTGGCAACCAGTGAGAGTTACGGACGTTTCAGCAGAGTGGAATCTTGCAGACTCTGGTCATTTGTGCTTGGTTTCTTTTGCTTAGGATACTATTTTTAAAGCCCATTCTTGGTGTGTCATATATTAGTGTCTTCTTCTTGTCATCTATGAACACTAATGCCATCATGACTGGCCAAAGTTTATCATTCAGGCATTTGGCTCTTGCCACTTTATGGTAACTATGGATAGTGTTGCCAAGAACAGCTGTGTATGGGTTTCTGTATGAATGTTTTCAATTCTTTTATATAATTATTATTCTCTGGGAATTCATCCAAGCACTGTTGCTAGCCTTATGCAGTATTTACTTGAATACCTGGTTTTACCTATGTAAGTGAACGTGAATTAGCCAGGACTGTGCTACAGTGCATGGCGGAATTGTGCATTATTGTGAACATATGCTTCACTTGGGTGTGTGTCTAGAGTGGAGTCACTGGGTCACACTACATCTTCATGTTTCATCCCTTGAGGTGCTGCTGCAGTACCTTCCACGTTGGCTGGGCTCCACAGCACTCCCTTCAGAATGGATCAGGGCTCCGATCGGCTGCCTCCTCTTTGCTTGGATTTTCCTGTTTTGCCCTTGTTTGTGTTATCATTTTCTTTTAGTGGGTATGAAGTGGTGCCTTGTGTGGTCTTAATGTGCCTTTCAAGTACTGGTTTGCAGCACATCATTTTAACATACTTTGGTTAATGTTTTTCCATTTCATTTGTTTCTCTTCTGAAACACAAAGGTCATTTCCACATATGTGAAATGAATTGTTGGTAGTGGAATGGCATCGCTCTGAGCTTTGGTTCAGGTAGAGACGTCAGAGGAAGAAAGCATTATCAGCTCATCCACCCAGTCTTCCGTCCCTGCTCCTTAGTGTCCGTTCCTCTGTCCTGAATGGCGAGGGCATTTAGGGGCTTTGCCACCGCAAGGCACGCACTGTACGGAACACACAATCAGCTGTGGTGTCTGGCCAGGAAGCCTTGCTGTCTAAAATTAGACATGTGAAGCCTGCTCTGAGGCCGAGGGAAAAGACAGGAGCCCATTGGATCAACTCTGATACGGTGTGTGGAATGTGGGAGTTGGTTTCGGGTCTGATGGCTTCTGTTGCAGTCTTCAAGATAAATCATGCTTTGGTGCTCAGGCTGACTTCTGGTACATTCTGTGCCACAGAGCAAAGTGCATCCCTTAACCATGAAACCGAAGGGACTTGTTCTCTGAAGCTCAAATCCCCATGTCAAGAAACTGACCGACAGACCCCGGAGTGCTGGGGCCTCGGTGACTCCCAGCTCTAAGTACTATGGTTAGGCCACAGTTTTTGGTACTGGACCACTTACTTATCTCAGTGGTAAAATGTTTTCTTTTGTTTAGCAAAATTAAACTCTTTTAAAGGTGTTACCTAATAAATGTCAGTGGGCCTCATCACTGGAACATGCTAATGATTTAGAAGCAACAGAACACTTTGCTTAAGAAGGTAGAACTCTGGAACCAGAGTGTCTGGGGGTAAATACCAATACCATGTCTCAATATCTTAGTTTCCTTGCCTTTAAAGAAAAAGGTGGAAGGGAGGCTTGGGGCTGGAGAGACGACTTGGTGGCTGTGAGCACTTGCTGTGCATTACAGAGACTCTGGGACCAGTTGCCAGCACCCACATAGCTCACCTGTAACTCTAGTTACACTGTCTTCTGATTTCCTTGGTTTTGGGGGGTTTCCTGATTTTTTGTTTTGTTTTGTTTTGGAGAGGGGTGTTCTGATTTCTGGGCCTTGAGCACCTGCTTTTACTTGGCTGGAGGTGCCAACCCAGTCCTCCCCATGTGATAGGAATGAGGGAGTGTGTCCAGAGGGCAAGGTAATATTTGACACCTTGTATTTCCCACCACGCGCAGTATTTTATACATGATACTTCCAATGATCCAAACCAGTCCTGAGAGGTCTCAGGAACGAAGGTAAGGACTGTTCAGCCTGGACTGCCACTGGGGTCTTTAGTCTCTCGTGCACCACAGAGCTCAGACAAACGAGTTGCAGGCAGAATTCCTACCCATATCTTGCCTCTGACATTTACTCTTTCATAGGAACATGTCAGCGCCGGGAAGAGCTGCCCACAGCCGTGGGGTGTGACTCGCAGTTAAAGGGGGCGGGGGCGGAGGCGGGGGGTGGGGGGGAGAGTGGGCATCGTGCTGTAAGAGAAAATGAGATCAAATAAAAAGTTGATGGCAAGAGCACTCCTTTCCTTTTGCTTTGAAGGTGAAGGCAGAAGTGTTAGACATGGCGGAGAATTCGTTTGACGATGAATACCTGAAGTGCAGCAGCAGGATGGAGGCGAAGTACATTCCACAGCTGTTCAGGGATGAAAAGGCGAACTCTGACCTCCTGGAGACTGTGTGGGACAATGCAGAGATCTTGTGGGAAGCTCGGAAGGCTAAGATCTCTCCCCCAATGAACTTCAAGGATCCCTATGGAATAACCCTGATGGCGTTTGTAACCGAGGCTCGAGAGCAGACTCCCTTTTACCACGAGTTCAACAGAGCTGTGAAGATGGCCGGCCAGTCCCGAAAAGAATACATCTATAACTTTCCATTCAAAGCTTTTCATTTTTACCTGGTGAGAGCCCTGCAGCTGCTGAGAAGACCTTGTGAGGAGAGTTATAAGGACGTGGTGTACCTCACAAGTCAAGACATTTCCTTCACATTCGGAGGGCCAAACCAAGCCAGGCTGGGCAACTTCACACTGGCATATCCAGCCAAACCCCCCACAGCTAACAACCAACCAGTGCTAGCCATCCACACCTGCTTTGGGGTTGCCGTGGAAAGGTTTTTGGACAAAACAAGTGAGAGAGTTGTTTTAATACCTCTGAGTGAGGTTTTTCAAGTGTCCCGGGAAGGAACCAGCAATGACCTTATTCTTGAGAGCATAAACAAGACCTGCAGCTACTACAAGTGTGCATTCCTCGGGGGTGAGTGTCTCAGTCACGATCTGGGTTTGTCTGAGAGGAGAGGAGGGGGTGCAGGCCCTGAGGGGTGTCTGGGAGAAGAGGAGTAGGGTTCAGGCCCAGGGGAATGATGTGTGTTTGCAAAGAGAGATAACACCAGCAGTTTTCAGTCTCACACCTTTTCTTTATCCACAACTCAGGTGTTGTCAAACACAGTACCTAGTTACTAAAGCTAAGAACAAAAGCAGTACTGTGAAATAGAAGCCATTTGCCCTGCAGGGTTTGGCAATGGTCAGAAATCCTTTTGGTTGTCACAACTCAGGAAGAGGTGGGGTTGCTATTGGCCAGGACTGGCTAAACAGTTCTTAGGACCCTGTCAAAACAAAGAATTATCTGATCTAAAATGTCAGGAGTACTGGTGTTGAGAAATCCCATTACAAGTCATTCAGTAAGAAGAGTCCCATCCCATTTCCAAGCCTCACTGGCATCCACTCTAAATCATTTTAGCTGGTTTTTTGTTTTTTGTTTTTTTTTTTTTTCCGGGTATACACCATCATGTTTGTAAGTGAATAGCATGCTTTTATTGTTTCAGGATTTAAATTTTTTTAGACGTGGTCTAAGTATTTCCGGAATTCAGTTTTCTTGCACCGTGTATCATTTAGGATTTCTTTGTTGTTGTTGGGCCAGTGATGCAGGCTTGTAACCCCAGGCACTCAGAAAGGAGGCTAAGGCAGAAGGATCCTAGTACCTGGAGTACAGATTGAATTCAAGGCCAGCCTGAGCTACTTAGTGAGACCCTGTCTCAGACAACAGTAGGTCAGTGACAGAGTGCCGACCTTGCATACACAAGACCCTGGGTCGGATCCCAAGGAGTCTAAAGATTCATCTTTCTGTCAGCTTTAGCAGAAAACCTCTCATTGCTACAACCAGGCTGTTGGGTACCACGGCTCCTCCATGGCATTAGTAACTCAGGCTGCCTTTCTGTCCCACTGGTTTGGGAATTCAGATTTGCCTTGTGGTCTGCATCCAGGCATCAGTTTACATCCCAGACAGAAACAGAAGGGGGACCGACCCACCGGATCTACCTGTTTCTCAGGAAAGTGAAAGCTAGCCTAACCACTTAGTAGAACTGTTTCTTGGTCACTTATAGCTGCAGGAAAGGCCTAGAAAGGAGGAAATCATTTTTGCAGGCTCTGTCGCTCAGGAAGAAAGGGAATCAAAGTGGCCTGGGATGCTGCTGCATATTTGTGATCCCAGCATGCAGGAAAAGGATGAGGATCTTGAGTTTTGGTCTAGCCTGGGATACTTAAAGAGATCATGTCTCAAAAAAAAAAAAAAAGAGAGACAGAGTTGTTAGGCCAGTAACCACGGTGTCCGATGACTACTGTCTCCTTCCCTCATAGTCTGGTGACTCACCTTCCCTCACGTGTGCTCGTGGTCCAGTTGCGATGTGTTTCTGTTGTTGGTTTTGGTTTTTTACCCCATGTAGTACTTCCTTTGCTGGGGTGATTTTATGACTTCATTTTTAAATGTCGTATTAATAATTCACCCCAGATCCTTTGACAGAAACAGCAATCTCTCCGTACATTCGTCTTCCCACCCCTGGATATACCCTCCCGGATACTGCTCTGGGCTGTGCTCCTAGGCTCACTGAAGGTCCCGCAGTGTCTCCACACCACCAGCCCGAGGCTGAGATTCTCCCCACAGCCCTGTTCTGGATTGGCACATCTTCCCCGAGTTACTCCTTTGTTTGGGGTGAGGCCAAGTGCTGACCAGTTTTCTGAGAAATGGTACCTTGCGGCAAATTTTCTAGGACCGCAGGTGTGAAAGATCTGCCTTTAAGCTCAAGTTACAGTTTTTCTAGCCTGCCTCGTCCTTCCTTGCATGGCCCTTGGAACCTGAACCTGACTGGGAGGTGGTGAGGGAATGAGACAAGACAGGTAGACAGGCAGACAGACAGGCAGACAGACAGACCCAGATAAATAGCTAGAATGGAGTGGTCTGGCTCTCAATGGAGAAACCTCAGCACCCCAGACACTCTGCATGTTTAGTATATAGATTGAACAGAGGGGTGGGGGTACTGCATGCAGCTGAACCAGGAGGCAGGGTTATTAAATGCTGGTAAACAAGGAGCTGGGGTTTGTGGTGTACAGCTGGATCAAGGGGGCAGGCATAGCTAAGCTCAGCTGGAGTGGTCTCTGTGGGAAGTAAACATAGGAGGGGAGGAAGCTGTGGGGACCCTTTTCTGCACACTGTTAACGCTCACACTGGGTCCTCGGGGAAGGCTTTGCCATCCCTTCCGGCTGAGGCTGTGGGGCCCTTGCCATGGCTGTGCAGAAACCACTCTGATGATTCCAACTTTGGATGAATCCTGGTGTGGGTTTTGTGATGTTTGGGTTTTTGCTGTTATTGTTTTTGTTTCATTTTGGTTTTCTGCTGCTGGGGATGAATCCTAGAGACCAGAACATGCTGGGCAAGTCCTTTAGCACTCAGCTACATGTATCCCAGCCTGCGAGCTGATGGCTTCATTTTGCAAGTCTTAGGACGTAGTCTTTATTTGCAGGGTTCTGAAATGCTAAGGTTTTGTGCCTTGCTCTATGTGAATACAGGGTTAATAAAAACCCATTCTCCCTCCTCCTATGGAAATGACTGCAGCGTTTCTTTGTAATGGGCTAAGGGCAGCTGCCGGAGCTGCACCCGACGCTGCCTGTGGTAAACAAAGCCCTAGATGGTGAAGTACATGTGCAGCAGCGCAGGATTAGGACGGGACCTAAGTTCCTGGGGCAGAACGCCATGGTTTCAAACTTCCTCAAAGTGGTGCGACATGTCCAAGTTCTCCCCATGTAGGGGCTGGAGGCAGCAGGGGACTCTGGTACCGATCTGCCCGACAGTGGTCTGTCTGTTCAGGAGTTACTGTGTCTTCTCTTGTGTTCTCCTAATTAAGGAGGGTGGGGCTAAAGACCACTTAGAGGACTTCCCTTAGAAGACATTGACTGCTCCTGTTGTGTGCACGGTCTTGCATTCTCCTACAAAACACAGTTAGAGAGGAGCTGGCCTTTGGGTCTGCATGATTGCTGACTGAACCCAAACCCACTACTGCTGGGTCCAGCAGTGACTGCTACAGTTGGCCTCAGACCTAGGGGAAACTTCCGACCTTGACTCAGTGTGCCCAGTGTACAGAGGTAAATGGGTGGGTCGGACAGTCGGGATGCTGACATTCTTGCTGACTGAAGCCAGGCAGTCCTTGCTGTGCCAAGGTTACAGACTTTCTTTCAGGAAGTGTTCGCAGGGCCTTACGATTTGACCTCCTGCACTTCCTTGATGTTGAGAGTGAACGACTCCTTAATCACCCTAGGCACCTGTCTGCCACACTCCTGACCGGCACTGGAGTCACATCTGATTCCGAGCATTCTTCTTGAGGTGATGTCAACACAAATGAACAGATTATGTTAAAAAAGCATCCATCCCCGTCACCCCCTATCTATTGGCCATGACCCCAACCAGGACAGGCCAAGCCAGCTTAGACCAGAGTTGCATCTTTTTCCTGTTCCTCCTACATCACAGTGGCTTAAAATTGGCCACAGTTGAGTTGTTATTTCTCCCTTATGCATGGGGGTGATGTGTTCCAAGACTCCCAGTAGTTGTCTGAAACCATGGATAATATCAAACCCTGCATGTACTGGGTATCTTTCTATACACACATACTTACGAGAAAGTTTAATTTATAAATTAGGTACAGTAAGAGTTTAATAATAATAGAATAATTACAAGTGTGTACTTGAGGAATATTTGCAGACATCAGTTGACCACTGGTGACTGAGCCCATAGACGGTTAAACTGTGGAGAAAGAGGGAACGTGGAGATAAGCAAACTATAAACCACGGTCTCCCTTCCTCCCCCCACCGAGTGTGTTTAACTTCTCAAGAACATCACAGTGAGAAACCTAGTCTCAGCTGGACTGTAGAAATCATACCTATTTTGGTGCCCCTGATGCATTCAGGCAAATGCCATTTAAGGAGGCCTTGGTTATATAAAAGGTCTGGATACCAACCATATTTAGCACTAGTACCTAGCTAATGGGCTGTGGAGGGCAGTGAAACCCACAGATTCCATGTCTGTGAGTTGAGTTGTGATACAACTAAATATATAAGGAGAAGTGAGCTAGTGGACTGATTCTGAGGGAGCCAGGGGCTGGAACCTCTCATGGCGCATTAGGAGCCTGTCTGTATAGGAGGAGCATGAGGCTGAGGGTAGGCCATTTCACAGGTTAATGTTCACCCCAGCTAAAGGAGACATTTGTGGGGGCTCACAAGGACCATGTTTGCAGAGCTCTGACCAAGTCAGCTACTGCTTTTGCGTGATTGAAAGCAAGGCTGAGCGCAGGATTTGACCACAAACTGGAGTTCTCTGCTGCCACCTAGAGAGAACCAATGGGAATGCACGGTCAAAAACTTCTAAGGCTGACTTAGGTGTGGCTCAGTGGTCGCACACTTGCTAGCAAGCCAGAGGCCCTTGGGTACCACCATCCTCCAACACTGGGGGTGGGGGGCGGCGGTGTGCAGACAAACAAACACACAACTGTAGTCATTCTGGATGGGAAAGGGCAATGTTTCTAGAAGGTATTTAAATTTACTAAACTCAGCATGCTAGCATAGTCCCTTGTTACTGTTGAGAACTTACCCGTGATTTCTAACGTAAAAGTAGAGTATGGATCTTACAAAAACTGGCTAGCCAAACAAACAAACAAACCAAAAACCCAGTTCCAGTTGTTAGGAAACAGAGAGACCAATTCCTGCTTAGTCTTGCTGTCAATCCAAGGAAGGAATAAACTCCTCCTCCTTCCTGAAGAGAGCCTACAGCACGTCAACCAGTGTAGATTTTTTTCTGGAATTTTTGGTAACGATGGGATGTCAGCTGTGTAGTCATCCAAAATGACGCCATCGGATAACTGTGACTGGATTTGGAGGGCTGTGTGTGGGTCAGTTATGAAGTTCTAAGAGAAAGCCCCAGCCGCAGGATTCCTC